ATGTAAAATTGCTGAATAACCCAATTTCTATTAATGAAATTGAAAACATAATAAATCCTTACATAATAAGTCCATACAAAGAAGAGCCCAGGCCCAGACAGATTCACTGCAGAATTCTACAAGAAATACAAAGAAGACCTAATGCCAACACTCCTCAAACTCTTAATGAAACTGAAAGGGAAGCAATCCTTTCTAAATCATTCCTAGAAGCAAATATTACTCCAGTACCAAAACCTGAGAAGGACCCAAGTGAAAAAGAGAACTACAGACCAATCTCCCTAATGAACACAGATGCAAAAATCCTCAATAAAATATTGGCAAATAGGATGCAGCAAATCATCAAGATCATACACCATTACCAACTGGGATTAATCCCAGGCATGTGGGGATGGTTCGCTATACATAAATCAATAAATGTAACCCACCATATCAATAGAGCCAAAAGTAAGAATCACATGATCATTTCTATAGATGCAGAAAAAGTTTTGGATAAGGTCTAACATTGATTTATGATAAGAACCTTGCAGAAAATTGGAATAGATGGGTCTTTACCTCAATATAATAAAGGCCATCAATGACAAACCAACAGACAGTATCATACTAAATGACCAAAAATTGAAGGCCTTTATTTTTTTTTGTTTTTGAGGCAGGGTCTCGTTATGCAGTTCAGGCTGGCCTTGAGCTCACTTTGTAGCTCAGACTAGTCTCAAACTCGCAATGATCCTCCCACCTCAGCCTCCTGAGTGCTGTGATTACAGCTGTGAGCCACCACGCCCAGCTGAAGGCCTTTACTTTAAAATCAGGCACAAGACAAGGATGTCCCTTATCACCGCTCATATTTAATATAGTACTGGAAATACTAGCCAGAGCAATTAGACAAGAGAGAGAAATAAAAAGAGTAAAAATAGGAAAAAAAGTAAATTATCATTATTTGCAGATGACATGATACTCTACATAGAAGATCCCAAAAACTCCATTGAAAGACTAATAGATATAATAAATAAATTCAGCAATGTAGCTGGATACAAAATCAATACTCAAAAATCAATAGCATTCCTATATACTAACAACAAAATCACAGAGAGAGAACTAAGAGAAGCCACACCCTTCACACTAGCAACCAAAAAAATGAAATATTTCCAAATTACTCTCACGAAAGAAGTGAAAGACCTATACAGGGAAAATTATAATAAACTGAAAAATGAAATTGAAGATGCTCTCAGAAAATGGGAAGACATCCCTTGCTCATGGTTAGGAAGAATAAATATTGTGAAAATGGCCATTCTCCCAAAACTCTTATACAGATTCAATGCAATCCCGATAAAAATATAATCAACATACCTCCTAGATATCGAGAAATCCCTCCTAAAATTCATCTGGAGAGAGAAGAGACCTAGAATAGCAAGGAAAGTTCTAAACAGCAAAGGCAAGGCAGGAGGCATCACAATCCCTGACTTGAAGTTATACTACAAAGCAACTGTAGTAAAATTAACATGGTACTGGAACCAAAACAGAGCCGAAGATCAGTGGAATAGATTAGAAGATACAATCACAACTACAAACACACTCAACCACCTTATTTTTGATAAAGGGGCCATACATGTTCACTGGAAGAATGACCGTCTTTTTAATAAATAGTGTTGGAAAAACTGGCTTTCCATATGCCGAAAACTAAAACTAGACCCATGCCTATCACCGTGTACTAAAATAAAATCTAAATGGATCAAAGATCTAAATATTAAAACAGAAACACTAAATCTATTGGAAGACAATTGGGTAAAAACCTTGAAGACATAGGAGTAGGTAGAGAATTCATGAACAGGACTCAAACCACACAGGAAATACTTCCCAGAGTCAATAATGGGATCACCTCTTATTAAAAAGTTTCTACACGTCAAGAGAAATCTCCAGCATAGTGAAAAGAAAATCCACAAACTGGGAAAAAAATCTTAGTGAACTGTCCCTCATACAAAGGACTTCTAAAACATATAAAGAATTTTTAAAAATCAGACCCCCAAAATTCAAAGACCCAATCCAAAAATGGGCATCTGAGATGAATACACAATTCTCAGATGAAGAAATAACAAACGGCAAATAAATACATGAAAAAATGTTCATCATCATTAGTCATTAGAGAAATGCAAATTAAAACCACACTGAGATTTCATCTCACTCCTGAAAAGAATGGCCAAGATCAAGAAAACCACCAACAACAAATGCTGGATAGGCTGTGGGGAAAAAGGAACTCTCCTGCAATGTTGGTGGGAGTGTAGACTGGTGCAACCATTGTGGAGGTCAGTCTGGAGATTTCTCAGAAAGCTGGGATTGGAAGCCCCATTTGACCCAGCTATTCCACTTCTAGTCATATTCCCAGAAGAACTGAAAGCATCATACCACAGTGATACATGTGCACCCATGTTTATAGCAGCACAATTTGTAATAGCCAGATCTTGGAAACAACCTAAGTGTCCATCAACTGAGGAACGGATAAAAAAAGTTGTGGTATTTTTATACAATGGAGTACTAGTCAGCTATAAAGAATGATCACATTGAGATATTTATAAATAAATGGACACAGCTTGAGACCATACTCATAAGTGAAATAAATCAAACTCACATGCACAAATACCAAATAGTTTCCCTAGTGTAAGAAATGATAAGAATACATAAAAGTGGTAATCATGATTCCCAATCATATTGGTTTGAAGCCATATAATGTTTTCATTCATTAATTGGAATGGCTTTAATCTGGGTTGTTTGATTTTATTGTCTGTGATAGTACAAATAGCTATTTTGAAGAAAACAAGACATCATAATAGCTAGTGCTGATTTAATAGCATCTTGTTTTGAAGTCCCATCAAGCTGTTGTCTGTTTTCATTGGTTTTAACTTGTATCTTATTATATTTTACTATATGCGATAGTATAAACAAAATTTTTATAGGCAAAGAGATAATATAGAAACCATTGTTAGTTTTCTGTTAGCTGGTTCTAAATACCCTATAATTCTTTCATTCTCTCGAATGGCTTCACACTGTCTTGATATGTCTGATGCTATAGTGTATGAAGTTTACTCAAATAATTCAAGGAAATAGACACTAGGGTGACTACTATTATGTCAGGTTATCTGGTGGTGAAACACAATAATGCTCAAATTGTTTGGTTCTGACCTATGTTGTTCTGTTACTATGTCCTCTTTTATCTCAATCTCCCCCCTTTTTTATTAAATATTTTTAACTTTTTAATTAAGGGAAAACTAAATTAAAAATTAGTGGGATATATTATAGTAACTTTTTTGTTTTCCTGTTAACCTGATTTGAACCCCAGTATTGCTCTCCCCATCTTGTTCTGTCTGATTTTACTACATTCTGTTTTGTTTGATAGTATCAAGTTTGAGGGTATAGGCAACCACTTTGAAGTCAATAACATTTACTATGGTGCCCATTATGGCTTGACTATTATCTTCTTTTGAATTCCTGTAAGGTCTCCAGTGTAGGTTTTATTGGTCTTGTTCTCTACTGTTTTGTTCAATTCTACTATACCTGATGATATAGGCAACTCTTTTTTAAGATAGCAACAGGCATAATGGTAACCATTTTTGATCACCTGATATTCTATTTTTGCATCATGTACTATGTCCATCCTTCTGTTCTGACTCTGTTTTGTTTTGTCATATTTGATTTTATTTTCTTCAAAAAAAAAAGTAATAAGAACTGTGGGAGTAATAAAACCCAAAAACTGTAATTGTCATTGTAAAAAAAGAGGAAAAGAAAGTGGCCTAAAGGATATAACAGCATGTATATTTAAGTGTGTAGGACAGAAAACTATAATATTGAGATTTTGTTGGATCATTGAACAGAACTGTCTGCAATCTCACTGTATGAATGTCCACTTTGTATGCTTTAATTTTCTAATTTGGATACATGTTTCTAAGATGACAATATGTAGTCTATTAACTAGTGATTTCTGACTGTATATTTTTTTCGCGAAATTCTGTATTACTTGTAGCATTTTACTGCTTTTTTTTTTCTTTTTAAATAAAGAAAAGTTGATCCGAGGGTGCCACAAGTAGCATCAGGGTTCCACCCTTTGCAGCCTCAGAATTACAACCGTTTCATTCCAGTACTGAAAAAACAAAGCAAAATTATATCAAAATTAAAGACTGCTACAAGAGGAGAGCCTCAGCAAGCTATGTTCCAGTATAGTGGCAGTCTAGAGAATTTCTTCTTCAGATTTTGATTCAGGGCACTCAGAAATGCAGGCACTTGAGTACAGGCAAGAGAGAGAGGAACCTGGTGACTGCTGCAGCTGGTAGCAGATCTTGGCATCATCTACATGGCCGTGGTTTTAGGCACATGCAGAATGCAAGAGTTGTGGGATCAGGGGGGCTTCCAGTCCCATTTCAGAAGATGGCCCGGGAGGCCAGCCCGTGTGCTCCTATAGGGCCGTGTGGGAAGATGTGTAAAGCTGAAGGTGCAGTGGAGATGCCAGGCTTTTGGAGAAGCTGGATTGGTGGATTCCCTTAGAAAAATTGCAATGTGGGGGCAGAACAGGTCCCAGAGAAGCCATGGGAGCTAGGGCCACTAGAAGTGACACACAAGCCATGTGTCTTTTTGGGACAGGGTTTCCCTATGCAGTTCAGGCTGGCCTTGAATTCATTTTGTAGCCGAAACTGGCCTGGAACTCATAGCAATCCTCCTGCCTCAGTGTCTGAGTGCTGGCATAACAGGCATGAGCATCTGTGCCAAGCTCTGTCAGTTTTGAAGGAAGCAGAGCTTAGTGCACTGAGCACTGAGCAGAGGATGAGCCTCTGTTCCCAAAGTGACTCTCCTGGGACACGAGGGTGAGAAGCCCATGCCACCTCCCCAAAGGATGCAGGTGGCCTTGAGGGGCAGGCATGGCAGCCCATGTTCTGCTCACCTCTGGCTCTGTGCACATGGGTAGTTCAGTGCCTGCTCTGTCCGTGCCACCATGGGTGAGGAGCAGTTATGAGTGGCTTACATTTTTCTTTCAGAAAAATTCTTTTTATTACCAATGGAAAAATAAGATTTGCTGGTGCCCAGGTTGGGGGGGGGGGTATCACCGCAGGGGCTCCTCCATCAGGTCATCATTCCTGCATGTTGGTCACATTGTCAGCCGCCATTTCCTCGTTGCCTGGTTCCACAGGAGGCGTCTTCACACTGGGCCTCCTGGGGGAAGACAGCACGAAGTCCGGGCATCTTCCTGTCCTCCTCCCCTGGGAACTGACATGCTGCCCAGCCACCCTGCATCCTCAGGGCCAGCCCCATCCTGTGGGGAGGCCCCTATCCTGGAGTTGCTGGGCCCTGCTGCTCTTCTGCCTGTTCAGGCAGGCACCCTTCTGCAGTAAACACGCTGCTGGGAAGAGCACGCTCACCTGACCTTTTCCCCTCACCCCCTTCCCACTGAGTCCCATGGGCATCCACTGAGATGAGGGAGAAGGGGCATTTCTTTTCCTTGCCTAGTCATCCTACAGAGGAGTCCCAGGAAGCCTGGAGCCAGTGCCACCTAGGGGAGCTGTCTAGCTCGTGGGTTTTCATGCTGAGTGCAGTCACTCAGAGTGGGACAGGAAATCAGTTTCAAGGAGACAGCTAGCACCAAAACACAAGATGTCATTTGTGAACCGGACTAGTGGTGCACACCTTTCATCCAAGCACTCTGGGGGCTGAGGCAGCAGGAGGATCACTAATTCAGGCCCAGCCTGGGGAGTTTAGCAACTTAGGAAGGCTGTGTCTCAAAACAAGAAACAAAATATAAAACAAAAAAGCAGCAGCCAGAGATACAGCTCAGCGCTAAGACCTTCAATCCCATTACAAAAGGGAAAAACACACAAACACAACACATGGCCAAAGGAGGCTTTTGGGACAGGAGCCTGATCAAAATTCCAACAGCATATCACAACAGAATTAGAATTCATTTGGGGCCAGCAGAGCCCTAGAAGAGCAAAGGAAATTGTGGGAAAGACTGGAGCATCACAATCCCAGAGTTGAAATTATAGTGAAAAGCTACTGTGATAAAACAGTTTGGTACTAGAAAAATAGAAAAAGTCCAAAAGAGACCCAAGGATGAAAGGAACAGATTAGAAGATGCAGAAAAAACTGGAGACATACTCAGGCACCTTACTTTTGACAAAGGTACCAAACACATTCACTGGGAGAAGGATAGTCTTTTTAATAAATGGTGCTGGAAAAACTGACTTTCCACATGCTGGATATTAAAAGTTGACCCATATGTTTCACCATGCAGTAAATCAAAATCAAAATGCACCAAAGATCTAAATACTGGGGAAAAAATCTAAATATTGAAACAAGCATTAAAACTGCTGGAAGACAGACTAGGTAGAACTCTTGAAGACACGGCTGTAGGCAAAGATTTTTATGAATGAAACCCCAGTTGCATAGCAGCTATCACAAAGAATCACCAGCTCCAAAAAAAAAAAAAAATCACCAGCTCAGATCTCATCTTTTTAAAAAGGTTTTGCACAGTAACAGAAAACACCGATAGAGTAAGGAGACAAGCCACAGTTTGGGAAAAATGTTTCGCCAACTGTTCCTCAGACAAAGGGTTACTACTTAGAATATATAAAGAACACGCACAAAAAAATCAAGACTCCCAAAATTTAAACACAGGATCCAAAAATGGGCATCTCAAATGAATACATACTTCTGAGATGAAGTATATATAGCATGTAAATATACTAAAAATGGTCAACATCATTGGTGATTCCAGAGATGCAAGTAAAACAATGCTGAGATTCCATGTCTCCCCAGAGAGAATGGCTATTATCAAGAAATCAACCAATAACAAGTTCCAGCAACGCTACGGGAAAAAGCAACGTTTTCCATTGGAGGTGGGAGCATATCCTGGTGCAACCACTGTGTAAATCACTGTGGAAATTCCTCAAAACCTAAGAGAACAGGATCCATGTCACCCAGCTCTCTCCCTCCTTTAAAGCAGCATTCGGGGCTGGGGATAAGGCTCAGTGGCATGAGTGCCTTCCTGGAAGTCCAAGGGCCGAGTTCAATTTCTGGTAAAAAACAAGACAAAACAAAAACCCTAGCAGACAACAGCAATATATTCACAGCCATGTTTACAGCAACATGTTTAAAACAGCTTGTAAACAGCCCAAATGCCCATCAACTGGTGAATGGATAAAGAAGATGTGAAGGTGTTTTAATACAATGGAGTACTTCTATGCATGAAGAAGAACAAGTCTGAGATATTTCTAGATAAAGGGATGCAAGTTGAGACTATACTCTTAAGTGACATAAATCAGACACACATTGTAAATATCACATTGTACTTCTGGTGTGAGAACCCAAGAGTGTAAATAAGGACCAAAACTTATAGTAGGTATTGTGAAACGGGAAGAAAATGTTCACATGGGGAGAACAAAGTATGGGAGAGGAAAGCAAAGAAAGGAAAAGTGAAGAAAATGAGAAACGAAGAAAGGGAAGCAAAGCTTTGTAAATGGGGAGGGTAGGAGAATGGGGGGGAAGTTGTATCATGTACAGGTAGAAATTCTCTATGATGAGTGTGATTATGTATATCTAAAATGGACTAATAAAACCTGATTGAAAAGCAAAATACCACGCAAGCCCATTCCTGTAAGCCCAGCAGTCTGGGAGGCTGAGACAGGATAACAAGCTCTAGTCCTACATTGGTAACTTATGTAGGGAGACTTTGTCTCAAATTTTTAAAATAACAAGGGCTGTCTCCCTCCCGCTGTCTCTGTCTCTCTCCTCCATCAATGCTTTTGCTGTTTTCTGCTGCCACGAATGGTTGCTCCTTTGCCAGGCACCACTCTGCTTTGGAGCCAACTGATTATGGGGTGAAACCTCTACAACTGTGAGCTAAATCAAACCTTTTCCTCCTTAACGTTGGGTGTCTGGTGTTTTTTCTCGGCCACAGTAGAACCGTAACTAAAACACACTGTGGTACTAGAGAGGCGGGGTCACTGCTGTGACTGTACCAGCCCATGTGGTGCAAGGGCCTTTGGGAATGGCTTGTGGGAAGAGTTTGGAATGATCCAGAGATGCCAGCTAAAAAGTAGAGCTATAATGCCTGGGGATGTTCTGTATGGGAGATTCTGGTCAGAGCTCAGGAGACTAGAAGGCTGACAGAAATCCTGCTGATAACAACCAGTCTCCAAAGGTTCCTCCTGGGAAGAAAGACTGCATTGGGTGTTGGACTCCAGAGTGTGTGTGTTATGGCTTGGCAGAGAAAGTTTGTGTGCATTTTGATCATGTCCAGAGACTTTGCCTAAGATTAAGGGTAGGAGACTAATTAAGGTTGCACAAGAAATTTCAAGGCAGTCTAATGTTGATGTGCGGCAGGGTTACTGCTGGGGGCTTTCTGCTAGATTTATGTTAAGAATCAACAGCAAAGAGCCCAGCAGGATGATTTAAAATATTTTCAGTTTGGTCAGAAGGGAAGCTCCAGCAAAGCTGTGGATTGCATAGATAGACCTGGGGAGTCTTTACTCCCGAGGCAGATAAGAGAATTAAAAGATGACCCAAGGGCATGACAAGTAGCATCAGGGTTCCACCCTTTCCAGCCTCAGAATTACAACCGTTTCATTCCAGTACTGAAAAAACAAAACAAAATTATATCAAAATTAAAGACTGCTATAAGAGGAGAGCCTCAGCAAGCTATGTTCCAGTATAGTGGCAGTCTAGAGAATTTCTTCTTCAGATTTTGATTCAGGGCACTCAGAAATGCAGGCACTTGAGTACAGGCAAGAGAGAGAGGAACCTGGTGACTGCTGCAGCTGGTAGCAGATCTTGGCATCATCTACATGGTCGTGGTTTTAGGCACATGCAGAATGCAAGAGTTGTGGGATCAGGGGGGCTTCCAGTCCCATTTCAGAAGATGGCCCGGGAGGCCAGCCCATGTGCTCCTATAGGGCCGTGTGGGAAGATGTGTAAAGCTGAAGGTGCAGTGGAGATGCCAGATGTTTGGAGAAGCCGGATTGGTGGATTCCCTTAGAAAAATTGCAATGTGGGGGCAGAACAGGTCCCAGAGAAGCCATGGGAGCTAGGGCCACTAGAAGTGACACACAAGCCATGTGTCTTTTTGGGACAGGGTTTCCCTATGCAGTTCAGGCTGGCCTTGAATTCATTTTGTAGCCGAAACTGGCCTGGAACTCATTGCAATCCTCCTGCCTCAGTGTCCCAGTGCTGGCATAATAGGCATGAGCCTCTGTGCCTAGCTCTGTCAGTTCTGAAGGAAGCAGAGCTTAGTGCACTGAGCACTGAGCAGAGGATGAGCCTCTGTCCCCAAAGGCCGAGTAGCCTGGGACAGAATGGGAAGGATCCCATGGTCTCTCACCAGAGGCAGCAAGGCAGCTGTGAGTGGTTTGCACCATAGCACATCTTCTGCCCTTGTCTGGCTCTAGGCACAGGCAGAATTCACACCCTTCACTGTGCATGCAGCTGTGGGCTGGGAGTGCTTATGGTTTTTCTTTTAGAACACTCGTTTTCATCAGCAGTGGAAAAATAATTTTCCCAGTCTACAGGAGAGGGTAGTCACCTGCTGGGCACCTGCACCACGTCTTCATTTTTCACCTTGGTCACCGTGTTTCCCTCCTTGTCCTCGATGGCCAACTCTGCAGGAGGGGTCTTCACACTGGGCTGCCTGGGGGAAGACAGCACCTAGTCTGGGCATCATCTTTTCCTTCTCCCCTGGGGATTCAGGTTCTGACAAGCCACCCTGCCTCCTCAGAGCCAGCCTCAGACTTGGGGAGGACCCTGTCCTGGAGCTGCTGGGCACTGCCACTCTTCTGCCTCTTCAGCCAGGCACCGTTCTGCAGTGAACATGCTACTGGGCAGAAGCGTTTCTGCTCCCCCATACATTTCCTTCATCCACTTTGCACTGAGTCCCATGGGTGCCCTCTGGGGTGAGGGAGAAGGGCCATTTCTTTTCCTGGCCTAGTCATCCTACTGAGGAGTCCCAGGAAGCTTGTGGCCAGGGCCACCTAGAGAACCTGTCTAGCTCAAGGATTTTCATTCTAAGTGTAGTCACTCAGCGAGGGACAGAAAATCAATTTCAAGGACACAACTAGCACCAAACATAAAAGGTCCTTTGTGAACCAGACTGGTGGTGCACACCTGTGATCCCAGCACTCTGGGGACTGAGGCAACTGATGGATCTCTAATTCAAGCCCAGCCTGGGCAGTTTAGCAACTTAGTAAGGCTGTGTCTCAAAACAAGAAACAAAATATAAAACAAAAAAGCAGCAGCCAGTGATGTAGCTCAGGTCTAAGGCCTTCAATCCCTTTACAAAAGGGAAAAAACACCCACAAAAAAAAATACATGGCCAAAGAACCTTTTAGGACAGGAATAGGCTGGGTGCCCTCTGCCTCACCTGTTATATAGATTTCATGTAATCCTGATCAAAATTCCAATAGCATATCTCACAGAATTAGAATTCATTTGGGGCCAGCAGAGACCTAGAATAGCAAAGGCAATTCTGGGAAAGGCAGGGAGCATCACAATCCCAGAGTTGAAATTATAGTACAAAGCTACTGTGATAAAAACAGTACGGCACTGGCTAAACAAAAAATCCAAAACAGATCCCTAGGGTCAATGGAACAGACTAGAAGATGCAGGAAAACCTGCATATATATTCAGGCACCTTACTTTTGACAAAGGTACCAAACACCATAACTGGAGAAAGATAGCATCTTTAATAAATGGTGCTGGAAAAACCAACTTTCCACATACTGAATATTAAAATTAGACTCATATCTTTCACTATGCAATAAACTAAAATCACAGTGGATCAAAGATCTAAATTTGGGGGGAAAAAACCCTAAATTTTGAACCAGAAGCATTAAATGTGCCAGAAGATAGCCTAAGTAGAAGTCTTTAACACATTGATGTAAGCAATGACTTTATGAATGAAACCCCAGTTGCACAGCAGCTATCACAAAGCATCAAAAACTCAGATCTCATCTTATTTAAAAGCTTTTTCACAGTAACAAAAAACACCAACAGAGTAAAGAGACAACCCACAGTGTGGGAAAAATGGTTTGCCAGCTATTCCTCAGACAAAGGATATTACTAAGAATATATAAAGAACATACACACAAAAAAATCAAGACTCCCCAAATTTAAACACACGATTCAAAAATGGGCATCTGAGATAAATATACACTTCTGAGACGCAATACAAATACCAAGAAAATATATATTAAAAATGTTGAACTTCGTTGGTGATTCCAGAGATGCAAGTAAAACAATGCTGAGATTCCATGTCTCCCCAGAGAGAATGGCTATTATCAAGAAATCAACCAATAACAAGTTCCAGCAACGCTACGGGAAAAAGCAACGTTTTCCATTGGAGGTGGGAGCATATCCTGGTGCAACCACTGTGTAAATCACTGTGGAAATTCCTCAAAACCTAAGAGAACAGGATCCATGTCACCCAGCTCTCTCCCTCCTTTAAAGCAGCATTCGGGGCTGGGGATAAGGCTCAGTGGCATGAGTGCCTTCCTGGAAGTCCAAGGGCCGAGTTCAATTTCTGGTAAAAAACAAGACAAAACAAAAACCCTAGCAGACAACAGCAATATATTCACAGCCATGTTTACAGCAACACAGTTTAAAACAGCTTGTAAACAGCCCAAATGCCCATCAACTGGTGAATGGATAAAGAAGATGTGAAGGTGTTTTAATACAATGGAGTACTTCTATGCATGAAGAACAAGTCTGAGATATTTCTAGATAAAGGGATGCAAGTTGAGACTATACTCTTAAGTGACATAAATCAGACACACATTGTAAATATCACATTGTACTTCTGGTGTGAGAACCCAAGAGTGTAAATAAGGACCAAAACTTATAGTAGGTATTGTGAAACGGGAAGAAAATGTTCACATGGGGAGAACAAAGTATGGGAGAGGAAAGCAAAGAAAGGAAAAGTGAAGAAAATGAGAAACGAAGAAAGGGAAGCAAAGCTTTGTAAGTGGGGAGGGTAGGAGAATGGGGGGGAAGTTGTATCATGTACAGGTAGAAATTCTCTATGATGAATGTGATTATGCATATCTAAAATGGACTAATAAAATATGACTGAAATACAAAATACCACGCAAGCCCATTCCTGTAGGCCCAGCAGTCTGGGAGGCTGAGACAAGAGGATCACAAGCTCTAGCCTCACGGGGGCAACTTATGTAGCAAGACCTTGTCTCAAATTAAAAAAATAACAAGGGCTGTCTCCCTCTCTCTCTCTCTCTCTGTCTCTCTGTCTCTGTCTCTCTCTTCCATCACTGCGTTTGCTGTTTTCTGCTGCCATGAAGGGTTGCTCCTTTGTCATGTACCACTCTGCTTTGGAGCCAACTGATTATGGGGTGAAACCTCTACAACTGTGAGCAAATGAATCAACCTTTTCGTCTTTAACTTTGGGTGTCTGGTGTTTTGTCTCAGCAACAAGAGAACTGTACGTAAGACACACTAGAGAGGTGATACTAGAGAGGTGGGGTCATTGCTGTGACTGTACCAGCCCACGTGGTGCAGGGGCCTTTGGGAATGGCTTGTGGGAAAAGTTTGGAATGATTCAGAGATGCCAGCTGAAAAGTAGAGTTGGAATGCTTGAGGCTGTTCTGTATGGGAGATTCTGGTCAGAGCTCAGGAGACAAAAATCCTGCTGATAACAACCAGTCTCCAAAGGTTCCTCCTGGGAAGAAAGACTGCATTGGGTGCTGGACTCCAGAGTGTGTGTGTTATGGCTTGGCAGAGAAAGTCTGTGTGCATTTTGATCATGTCCAGAGACTTTGCCTAAGATTCAGGGTGGCAGACTAGTTAAGGTGGCACAAGAAATTTCAAGGCAGTCTAATGTTGAAGTGTGGCAGGGTTACTGCTGGGGGCTTTCTGCTAGATTTATGTTGAGAATCAAGAGCAAAGATCCCAGCAGGATGATTTAAAATGTTCTGAGTTTGGTCAGAAGGGAAGCTCCATCAAAGCTTGCATAGATAGAGCTGGGGAGATCTTTACTGATTAGGGAGACAAGAGAATTAAAAGATGACCCGAGGGCATGACAAGGAGCAGCAAGGTTCCACCTTTTGCAGCCTCAAAATTTCAACAGTTTGATTCCCAGTACTGAAAAAACAAAACAAAATGACATGAAAATGAAAGACTTTGCTATGAGAACAGAGTCCTAGCAAGCTATGTTCCAGGAAAGTGGCAGTTTTGAGAATTTGTTTCTCAGATTTTGATTCAGAGCACCCAGAAATGCAGGCACTTGAGATTTACAGGCAAGAGAGACAGAAACCTGGCGACTGCTGCAGCTGGCAGCAGATTTTGGCATCATGTACATGGCCCTGATTTTAGGCACATGCAGAATGCAAGAGTTGTGGGATCAGGAGGGCTTCCAGTCCCATTTCAGAAGATGGCCTGGGAGGCCAGCCCGTGTGTCCATAAGAGGGCAGTGTGGGAAGATGTGAGTGTAAAGCTGAAAGTAGAGTGGAGATGCCAGACATTTAAGAAGCGGGAATGGTGGATTGCCTGAGAAAAACTACAACGCTGGAGCAGATCAGGCGTGAGAGAAACCATGACAGCCATGATCACCAGAAGTGAAACAAGTCCTTTGTCTTTTTGAGACAGGGTTTCACTATGTAGTTTAGGCTGGAAGCACACTCACTTTGAAGCCAAGACTGGCCTGTAACTCACAGCAATCCTCCTGCCTCAGTGTCTAAGTGCTAGCATGACAGGCATTAGAGTCGGTGCCTGACTCTAACTTCTCAAGGAATCAGAGCACAGAGCACTGAGCACTGTGCGGAGGATGAACGTCTGACTCTAAGGGCCAACTGGCCTGGGGTCCATAGGGGAGGACCCTACGCTGCCTCCCCACAGGAAGCAGGGAGGTTGAGTGGGTCCCACCACAGCCTGTCTTCTCCCCATGCCTGGCTCTGTGCACACGCTGACTTCACAGCCTGAGATGGGAGTGGTTATGAATGGTTTAATTATTCTTCCACAAAGGTCATGTTCTTGGGTATTTTTGGTGTTTTAGTATAGGGAATAGAAATCATGACCTTGCAGTTGCCAGACTGGCACTTATGCCACTGAGCTAAATCTTCGGCCCAAGACATACCCTTTTTATTAAGAGAAAAGTAAGATTTTCTGGTCCCCAGGGCAGGGGCGTCACCTGATGGGCACTCGGTCTTCACTCTTCACCTTGGTCACCATGTAGCCCATCTTATCGCTGCTGGCCATTCTCACAGGAGGTGTCTTCATATTGGGCTTCCTGGGGGAAGACAGTACCAAGCTCTGGCATTGTGCTATCCACCTCCCTTGGGGATTCAAGCCCTGCCCAACCACTGTGCATCCTCAGGGCAAGCCCCATCCTGTGGGGGCCCTGTCCTGCAACTGCTGGGCCCTGTTGCTCTTCCGCCTCATCAGCCATGAAACCTTCTGCAGTGAACATGCTTCTGGGTAAAAGCTCACTCACCTGACCTTTCCATGTCAACACATTCCACCGAGTCTCATGGGCACCCTGGGGTGAGGGAAAAGGGCCATTTCTTTTCCTGGCCTAATCATCCTCCCGGGAAGTCCCAGGAAGCCTGTGGCCAGTGCCACCTAGGGGAGCTGTCTAGCTCATGGGTTTTCATGCTGAGTGTAGTCACTCAGGGTGGGACAGGGAATCAGTTTCAAGCATACAGGTGTCACAAATGTCATTTGTGAACCAGACTGGTGGTGCACACTTGTGATCCCTGCACTCTGGGGGCTGAGGTGGCAGGAGGATCACTAATTCAACCCCAGCCTGAGCAGTTTAGCAACTTAGTAAGGCTGTCTCTCAAAACAAGAAACAAAATACAAAACAAAAAGAAGCAGCCAGATATGTAGCTCAGCGCTCAGACCTTCAATCTCATTAGTAAAGGGGAAAACACACAAACTAACAAAACACACAGTCAAAGGTGCCTTTTAGAAGAGGAGCAGGCTAGGTATCCTTTGCCTCACCTGTTATTCAGATTTCATGTAATCCTGATCAAAATTCCAACAGCATAGTTTACAGAATTAGAATTCATCTGGGGCCAGAAGAGACCTAGAATAGCAAAGGCAATTCTGGGAAAGGCAGGGAGCATCACAATCCCAGAGTTGAAATTATAGTACAAAGCTACATGATAAAAAGAGTATGGCACTGGAAAAATAAAAACTCAAAATAGACCAGAGGATCAATGGAACAGATTAGAAGATGCAGAAAAAACTGCAGACATATTCAGGCACCTTACTTTTGACAAAGATACTAAACACACTGACTGGCAGAAAGATAGTCTCTTTAATAAATGGTACTGGAAAAAATGACTTTCCACATGCTGAATATTAAAAGTAGACCCAATATGTTTCAGTATGCAGTAAATGCAAATCAAAATGCACCTAAGAGCTAAATACTGAAAATAAACCTATATACTGAAACAGAAGCATTAAATCTGCTGTAAGACAGACTAGCTAGAACTCTTGAAGACATTGCTGTAGGCAAAGATTTTATGAATGAAACCCCAACTGCACCTATCACAAAGCATCAAAAATTCAGTCTCATCTTATTAAAAAGCTTTTTCACGGTAAGAGAAAACACCAACACAGTAAAGATGCAACCCACAGCTTGGGAAAAATGTTTGCCAGGTGCTTCCCAGAAAAAGGGTTGCTATTTACAATATGTAAAGAAATAAAAAAAACCCAAGACTCCCCAAATTTAAAGACACAATCCAAAAATGGGCATCTGAGATAAATACATACTTCTGAGATTAAGTACAAATACCATGTAAATATATTAGAAATGTTCAATGTCATTGGTGATTCGAGAGATGCAAAGTACAAAAATGTTGAGATTCTGTATCTCCCCTGAGAGAATGGCTATTATCAAGAAATCAGACACTTGGAGAACTGCTGAGCTCCCGACGGGTGGGCGGGCCCACACTATCAGCCTAGCCCAGCCTGTTTAGCTGCCGCGCCTGGCCATCGGTGTGCAGAGGAGGAGCTGGGCAGATCTGGGGTGCCCTCACCGGCCTCTCTGCATGTCTGGAGGACTCTGGATATCTCCGCCCAGACTGCTGGAGTCCCCCCAGGCTTCCAGGTGCAGTGAAGGGGAGAGGTGGGTTTGAGGCTTCCACATCAGCCTCCCCATTCCGGTTACACTTGAAGAACTGCTGAGCTCCCGACGGGTGGGCCGGCCCACACTATCAGCCAAGCCCAGCCTGTTTTGCGGCCACGCCTAGCCATCAGTGTACAGAGGAGGAGCTGGGCAGATCTGGGGTGCCTGCATCGGCCTCTCCGTGTGTCTGGAGGACTGTGGATATCTCTGCAAGCAGGGAGGGTCCACAGGTTCCTGAGGCACTGCGGCCTGTGGTGCGTACCCTAACCCGGCTGCGGTTGAAGAATTGTGGAGCTTCCAAGGGGCAGGTGGGCGCACAGTGTCCCTGAGGCCCAGCTTGTCTGGAACTGCGGAGTTCTGAGCAGGCAGAGGAGAGCCACTGGTTCTGTAGGCCCAATGGCTTGGGGTAGTGCGGTGCCAGAGTCTCAGTAGCTACAAACATAGAAGGGGATTTTCAACAGATCCTGAGGAAGCTTTCAAATAACACTTGAAACACAGAAATATAGGAAAATGACAAAACGAAAGACCAAATCACCTCAAACCTCCAGCCCATCTCAAGGAACCCTAGGAGCGATGTATATAGAAGAAAATATATCCCATCCACCTCATATATCGGACACAATAGCTACTGAGATTGACAAGCAACTCCAGGAAGCTTTAAATAAATTCAAATTCGAAATAATCTCCCAGATAAAAGAAGAAATGATAAAAGAAATGAAAGAGATTCTAAATATATCTAAAGAAAACACAGATAAAAAATTGGAGGAACTAAACAAAAAGATAGAATCCCTAGACGAGCAATATAAGAAACAAACAGAATACATAATGCAGATGCACAGAGATATACAGGAAATAAAAAACTCCACTGAAAGTTGTAAAAACCGCCTTAATGAAAGTGAAGATAGAATTTCAGACCTTGAAGACAGGATTGCAGCTAGTGAACAGGAAAGGAAAGATCTTTTAAAAATAACAAGGAATCAGGAAACAACAATTCAACAACTGCAAGACGATGCAAAGAAGAATAACATAAGAATGATAGGGATTAATGAAAGATAGGGAGACAACATGAAGGATGTCAGGAGGATATTTAGAGAAGTAATAGCTGAAAATTTCCCAAGCATAAGATCAGAAACTGACATCAGGATCAGTGAAGCATATAGAACTCCAAACAGTCAAAACCAAAATAAAACTACACCCAGACATATAATAATCACCATCCCAGAAATCCAACACAAGAATAGATTATTAAAAGCTGTCAGAGAGAAAAGACAGATCACTTATAAAGGAAAACCTATCAGAATCACAGCAGACTTCTCAGCACAAACGATAAAGTCAAGAAGAGCATGGAGTGAAGTATTCCAGATCCTAAAGCAAAATGATTTCCAACCAAGACTGATATAGCCTGCAAAACTATCATTCAAAATAGATGGTGCAATACGATACTTCCATGACAAAGAACAGCTGAAGAACTTCATGAACACCAAACCAACCCTGCAAAAAATATTGAAAGACAGTTTAGATACACAAAGGAAAAAACCACTAAGCAAAGCAAATAATTAAACAGAACAGAAAGATAAAGATGCAACAGCAGAGAGATAACATTCCTACAATTAACCAGCATTTAACAGTAATAACCATTAATGTAAATGGTCTCAATGCACCAATCAAAAGAAACAGACTAGCAGAATGGATCAAGAAACAAAATCCAACCATATGCTGTTTACAGGAAACCCATCTAACCCAGAAGGATACTCACAGACTGAAAGTCAAAGGATGGAAAACAATTCTTCATGCAGCAGGAATCCAAAAAAAAGGCAGGAGTAACCATTCTGTTTGCAGACAATGTGAACTTTAAACCAACAATGACCATAAAGGACAAAGAAGGTCACTACATACTCGTAAGGGGAAAACTCCAAGAGGAAGAGATAACTATCTTAAATATATACGCACCAAACTCCAGAGCACCCAGTTATATAAAACAATTATTAACAGAAATGAAAACTCAAATTATCAGTAACACAATTGTAACAGGAGACCTTAATACACCACTGACACCAAGGGACAGATCAACCAGACAGAAAATGAGCAAAGAAATAACAGAACTGAATCACACCTGTGAACAAATGGGTTTGATAGACATATACAGAATGTTCCACCCAACAACATCAGAATACACATTCTTCTCAGCAGTACATGGATCATTTTCTAAAATAGACCATATATTAGCTCACAGAACATATTTAAGCAAATGCAAAAGAGTTGAAATCATCCCTTGCATATTATCGGATCATAGCGCTCTGAAATTAGAAATTAATGATAAAAGATACTGCAAAAATTCCGCAAACACATGGAAACTAAATAACACACTCTTGAGTAATCAGTGGGTCACAGAAGAAATTAAAGAAGAAATTAAACAATACCTAAAAGAAAATGAAAATGCAGATACAACTTACCGGAATCTGTGGGATGCAATGAAAGCCGTCCTGAGAGGAAAATTTATTGCACTGAGTTCCCACATCAGGAAAACAGAACGAATACAAATAAATAACTTGATGCTACACCTCAAACAGCTAGAAAAAGAAGAGCAAGTCAAGCCCAAAGCCAAAAGAAGAGAGGAAATTATAAAAATCAGAGCAGAAATCAATGCAATAGAGACTAAGAAAACAATCCAAAGAATCAATGAATCAAAGAGTTGGTTCTTTGAAAGAATAAATAAAATCAATAAGCCCCTATCCAACCTTATTTAAAAAAAGGGAAGAAAAAGCTCAAATTCATGCAATAAGAAATGAAAAAGGAGAAATCACTACAGACCCAATAGAAATACAGAGGATCATCAACACCTATTTCAAAAACCTCTACTCTCAAAAGTTTGATAACACAGAAGAAATAGACAGATTCTTAGAAGCATATGAAGTACCAAAGCTAGATCAAGAGGATGTAAAACTGTTGAATAACCCAATCTCTGTTACTGAAATTGAAAATGTAATTAAGTCCTTACCCACCAAGAAGAGCCCCGGCCCAGATGGATTCACTGCAGAATTCTACAAGAAATATAAAGAAGACCTAATGCCGACACTCCTCAAACTATTCAATGAAATTGAAAGGGAAGCAATCCTTCCTAAGTCATTCCTGGAAGCAAATATTACTCTAGTACC